TGGTGGCCCATGATTAAATGGTCAGTCTCTACTAAGGTCCAGTAGCAGGCCAAAAGCTGCCTCTGGAGAGGTGTTTTCTAAAAAGGAAGATGAAGCTTTGCTCCAAAATCCTCAGGGCCTATCCTGTGATTCTTCTGTTGGGCCCTGCCAAAGGCTCCAAACAGCATCCCTGTCTGCTACTGACACTGGAGGCACTATTATATTTGTTGGATCACGTGGCCCAAGTGGCACACATCAGCTTGCACAGCAGCCTGGACCTGTTGGGGAGTTTTCCCTTGTTCTGGGCCCCACTGTGAACTAACAGCTTTTTGGATCACATGGTAAATGGCCAGCAGAATAACACATCCAAGTGAAGAATGTGTTGTCTCCAAAATCCGAAGAGACCCCGTATGCATTGCGCCTCCTTTTTGACTGTAGGAGGAGCCAGATGCAACAATTTATCCATCATCTTAGAAGGGATATCTCACCATGCTCCACACCACCTGACCCCTGGGATTTCAGTGAAGTAGAAGGCCCCTGATTTCTTACTGGATTTATTTCCATCCTCTGACATGCAATGTCTTACCAATAAATCTACAGTACTTGCTACTTCTTGTTCACTAGGTCGAATCAGTGTAATGTCATCGACGTAATGGATCAGTGCAGTATTTTTTGTTTGTTTGTTTGTTTTGAGACGGAATCTTGCTCTGTGGCCCAGGCTGAAGTACAGTGGTACGATCTCAGCTCACTGCAACCTCTGCCTCCTGGGTTCAAGCAATTCTCCTGCCTCAGCCTTCCAAGGAGCTGGGATTATAGGTGTGTGCCACCATGTTCAGCTAATTTTTGTATTTTTAGTAGAGACGGGGTTTTGCCATGTTGGCCAGGCTGATCTGGAACTGCTGACCTCAGATGATCCACCCGCCTCAGCCTCCCAAAGTGCGGGGATTACAGGCCTGAGCCACTGTGCCCGGCCCAGTGCAGTATCTCGCGGAAGGAAAAGGCAATCAAGATCCCTGTGAACTAACTTACAATATATGTCTGGAGAATTGATATACCCTTGAGGCTGCACAGTGAAAGTGTTGTTACTGGCCTTACCAATTGAAAGCGAGCTATTTATGGTGGTTTTAAATAACAAAGATGGAGAAAAAAGCATTTGCCAGCTCAGTAGCTACACATCAGGTAGCAGAGGATGTGTTAATATCCTTAAGCAACAAAACCACATTTGGTACAGCAGCTACAACAGGAGTTACCACCTGGTCAAGCTTATGATAATCCAGTGGCATTCTTCAAGACCGATTTGTCTTCTGCAGGGCCAACCGGGCAAGCTGAATGGGGACGGGGTGGGAATCCCCGCCCCTGCATATTTTTCTTAGTGGTGGTACTAATCTCTGCAATCCCTCCAGGAATGTGGTATTGCTTCTGATTTACTATTTTTCTAGGTGGAGACAGTTTTAGTAGCTTTCACCTGACCTCTCCCACCATAACAGCCCTCAGTTCACATGTCAGGTAATCAGTGTGGGGATTCTGCCAGTTACTACGTAGATCTAGTCCAATTTTGTGTGTGGTATTGGGGATACAACCACAGAATGCTTCTGGGACTTGTTGTGCCCATTGTGAGATATACCTGAGCTAAAACTCCATTCATTACCTAACTGCCATAAGCCCCTACTCTGACTGGTAGATGACAGTGATGTTTTGGGTCTCCTGGAATTAAGGTCAGTTCAGAGCCAGTGTCTAATTTAAAACAAGTTAATAAATATGAAACAATGATTTATTGTGATAAAGAATGCAAAATGGCCATGAAAGAACATGTCAAAGAAAATATCTGTTACAGGGTAACTATCTGGGAAGATGGCTGATATTCTTTGGTGGAAGTTAAATAGATGGGAAATCTACTAAAGCATTAATTGATTTGCGTAAGTGGAAGACTTCCAGGTCAAATGAACAAAAGCGTAACTTGATTCACAAAGACAGAAAGTCAGGTCCCTCAATGAATACCCGGACTTGAGTCAGTGAAGACACTTAGAAGCCCTTGAATGAAGGGGAGGCCAGGTCCCCTTGAGGAAGAACACCAGTACACTTCCAGAAATTTATACTGTTAATCTTTCTCCCAGTCTTCCAAAAGGGACCTATGGCTTTTATTAGAGTGACTGTGCAGAGACCAACAGTGAGTCCCCAATATGGCACCATTCTCTGGTGGCAGGTTGGACTGCTTTTTTCTCACTGAAATAGACACTATGGATATGGATTTGTCTTCCTTGCACAAAGTGCTGCCACCAAACTACCCTGAAAAGTAATCACTGAAAGGTCTGATTATTTATTTTCCCCATTGTAACGTATCCATGGGTCCCAGATACCTGCATTCTCTTATGCAGTTACTACATTTATATAACCTCGCAATCTTTCATTCAGATTTTAACTCAGAAGTCACATTCAAACACATCAAATCTCACATGATCTCCAACTCAATCATAATCCTTTAAAATATACACATCAACCTCAAAGCCACAACAGCCTAATCACGTACTCCTTCACTGTCATACAATTCATCCAGAGACTTGAGCATATTCACAAACCACTTTCACATACAGTCATCCTTCCAGGACTCCTCCCTACCAAAATCCACAGATGCTCAAGTCCCTTACATAAAATGGCATAGTATTTGCATACAATCTATGGAAATCCTCCGGTATTCTTTAAACCCTCTCTACATTACTTATAATACCTAATAACCATGTAAATACTATGTAAATAGTTGTTATATTCTATTGTTTAGGGCATGATGACAAGAAAAAAAAAAGTCTGTACAAGTTCAGTACAGATGCAAACATCAACTTTTTCCCAGATATTTTCAACTGAAGGTTTGTTGAATCCCCAATGCAAGACCCATGGATAGGGAGGGCCAGCTGTACATCACATATTTCACTCTCCTTTCAGTGACAGTTTCAAGAGCAAACCATCCCACATACATGAACAAGAATCAGACACAAGCAGAATCACTTGTTCTCAAGCACCATTTCCTCATATTACACTTGGTGACGGAGTTACTGGTCTCTCAGCAAAGTTAAAAGTCCTTACCATGGATCTGTCCCTTCTGGCAGATAACATGTACCAGCTTCCACTCCTCTCAGTCAGCTCTGGACTCTCACACACAACCAAACACACACAGTCACCTCACACCGCTCCTATGCATACATCTAAGGTTCAGGACGCCCTGGTCCAGGATCTGTCATTCATCCATCTCAGACCCTCCTGGTCCCAACCAGCTTTTTCCCTTCCCAGGGGCCGCCACAGTCACACTAGTCCTCTAATCATGGGTGGACCCAGCGCAAAAAAGCCTCACACAGAATGTCACAGGATCCCTGTGCACGTGGCTGCGCTCCCGCAAACATGGCAATCACACGGGTCCAAGTGGCCTCTCACATTTAAGCGACATCACGTATCACCCCACAGGGGCCACTGCGGGAGTGGCGGCGCTTACCACATGAACCCCACGCGGGCGTCTAGCACAGCCATTCCCAAAAGGCCTCAAAACCGTTTCACGACCCAGCGCGGTGGTTCACACCTGTCATCCAATACTTTGGCAAACGAGGTGGGAGGATCGCTTGAGTCCAGGAGTTCGAGACCACCAGCGTGGGCAACATAGCGAGACCTCGTTTTTACCATAAATAAATAAATAAATAAATAAATAAATAAATAAAAATAAATCGTTTTGGCCGGACCCGGTGGCTCACGCCTGTAATCACAGCACTTTGGGAGGTGGATGCCGGAGAAGCAGAGGAGGTGGAGATTGCAGTGAGCTAGGATCCCGACACCACACTCAGCCCGGGCAACAGGGCATGAAGACCCTGTGTCAAAAAAATAAAAAAAAATTTTTTAAAGTTGAATGAAATATATGACGTACAGTTTTTGTTTTTTTTTGTTGTTGTTGTTGTTGTTGTTTTTCTTGCCCAGGCAACAGGGCAAGCCTCTATCTGAAAAAAATATATAAATAGGCCGGGAGCGGTGGCTCAAGCCTGTAATCCCAGCACTTTGGGAGGCCGAGACGGGTGGATCACGAGGTCAGAAGATCGAGACCATCCTGGCTAACACGGTGAAACCCCGTCTCTACTAAAAATACAAAAAATTAGCCAGGCGCAGTGGCGGGCGCCTGTAGTCCCAGCTACTCGGGAGGCTGAGGCAGGAGAATGGTGTGAACCCGGGAGGCGGAGCTGGCAGTGAGCCGAGATCGCGCCACTGCACTTCAGCTTGGGCGACAGAGCGAGACTCCGTCTCAAAATAATAGTAGTAGTAATAATAATATATATATAAAATAAATTGAGTCAAATATATGAGGTACAGTTTTGTTTGTTTGAGAAGGAATTTTGCTCTTGTTGCCCAGGCTGGAGTGCAATGGCGCAATCTCGGCTCACCGCAACCTCTGCCTCTCGGGTTCAAGCGATTCTCCTGTCTCAGCCTCCCGAGTAGCTGGGATTACCGGCAGGCGCCATCACGCCCGGCTAATTCAGTAGAGACTGGGTTTCTCCATATTAGTCAGGCTGGTCTCGGGTGATCCGCCCACCTCGGCGTGAGCCACCGCGCCCAGCCAAAAAAAATTTTTAAAAAAATCGTTTCACATACGAATCTCACGCGCTACACCCTCACAAGTCGGTTCATATCCACCTTCTCCACCAGAGTCACCTTCGGATAGGCGCACGTGCGGTCTCGCAACAAAACACCTCTCTCACCACAACTCCACAAAGGGAAGCCGGATTAGTCCGCGCCCGCCAAAAATTATCTTCAGCCACACCACGCGGCGGCCGCCTTGAGGAGGTCGGGGCAGCCACTGTCCCTATTCTGAAATCCGTCCTCAGCGGAACCCGAAGTCTGGTATCCGAAAACGAATCCTAAGAGGTTGGCGTCACTCCAGCCTCGGGTGAAACTGCGCAAGTGCATCCCGGAGCCCGGCGGAACACACCCTTTCCATCCCAGGCGCTCTCCCCTCGGACTGCATTTCCCAGAGGACACCGCTGTCCACAGCTACTTCCGGTAGGAGCCTCGGAGGAATGGTCTCCGGGTAGAGGCAGGTAAGGGTGTCCCGGGCCGGTGGAGAAGGTAGAGCGGCCTCACCTGGAATCCGAATCAGGACTTGGACCAGAGCCTTCCCTGAGGATGCTGAAGGTGAGAAATCCTGGCTCACCAGTGTCGTGGAAGGGGAATGCCTGTAGTTTTAAGCCTCTGAGTGCGGGATCACCCCTTAGGGGGGTGTGTTTTGCATGCGTGAGGAAGTAGGGTTTATCTTTGGGCTAAGTTTGTGTTACTCTTGGGACAGCGACCTGGTGCATGGGTGTGCTTTACTGACAGTGTGATTCTGTGCCCGATCATTTGTGTAAATGTAGGTGACTGTGACCATTATTGTGAATGGCTATTTGTTTAAGTCCCATTTATTTACATGAAAGAAAAAGCACAGGCCGGGCACAGTGACTCACGCCTGTAATCCCAGCACTTTAGGAGGCCGAAGCGGGTGGATCACCTGAGGTCGGAAGTTCGATACCAGCCTGACCAACGTGGAGAAACCCCATCTCTACTAAAAACACTAAATTAGCCAGGTGTGGTGGTGCATGCCTGTAATCCCAGCTACTCGGGAGGCTGAGGCAGGAGAATCGCTTGAACCCGGGAGGCGGAGGTTGCGGTGAGCCGAGATCGCACCATTGCACTCCAGCCTGGGCAACAAGAGTGAAACTCCGTCTCAAAAAAAAAAAAAAAAGCATTTACTTTATCCTCAGGCTCACACGATCAGTCAGAGAGCTTCCACTCCTCTCAGTCAACTCTGGTCTCTCACACACAGACACACGCACAGTCACCTCACCCCGCTCCTGTGCACACATCTAAGGCTCAGGACGCCCTGCCCCAGAGATCTGTCATTCAGCCATCTCCCCTCCTGACTACTTGAGGAGTTAGCTGTAGATTTACACATACAACACAAGCCAAAATCACATTGCTACCCCGCATTTATCACCACAGCCTCAGAAAAACACCACATATGTAGTATGCTTATGTACATATGTGTTTGATTTTTTTTTTTTCTAAGATTAGGCTAGGCCACAATACATACACATTGTTCTGCAACTTCTTTTTTTTTTTTTTTTTTTTTTTTTTTATTTGAGACGGAGTTTCTCTCTTTCGCCCAGGCTGAAATGTAGTGGCGCTATCTGGGCTCACTGCAACCTCCGCCGTGGGTTTTCAAGCAGTTTTCCTGCCTCATCCTCCCGAGTAGCTGGGATTACAGGCATCCGCCACCACACCCACCTCATTTTTGTATTTTTAGTAGAGACGGGATTTCACCATGTTGGCCGGGCTGGTCTTGGGCCCCTGACCTCGTGATCCGCCTGCCTCGGCCTCCCAAAGTGTTGGGATTACAGGCGTGAGCCACTGCGCCCAACCTCTGCAACTTCTTACTAAAAGATATTTATGTCCTTTTGTCTGTATTCAAAGACAAATTTAAGAATATTTCTCAGGATGTTTGCAGGTACGATTCTTCTTTAATTCTTACAGCACTGTACTTTAAAGACTCAAGAGTATATTTTGGTCTGGAAATTTTTGTTCTATTTATTTCTTCTCTTCCATCTGTGTTGTTTCAGCCTCTTATTTTTGAAATTCCTGTTATACATACATTGGGTCTTTTGGGTCTGTTTTCTGTTTCCCTGATCTTTTCTCATAATGTCCATTAACTTTTCTTTTACCTCTTAATTCAGTAAAAATCTACTCAGGCAGTTCTCAGCACCTTGATCCTGGCTTCCATTTCATCATAGTATTGAGACACTGGGCTGGCCTAACTATCCCTTCTGCTGAAGAGAATGATCCTTGCTTTTCTTGAGTCTATCCTGCTGTAGCTGGGTTTCCTCATGGTTTTGAGTAAAGCTAGGATTTATCCAAATTCCCACTAATAATTTATGTATGTATGTATCAGGTCTGGGAATAGGAGATATGAAGGGGGAAGAAAAATGTCATTCTGAATTAACATTTTGGGAGCTTAGAGGCAATAATCTCCTGTCTTTTTTTTTTTAACTCCCCTCTCCCCCAGCAACACCTTCTTTGGACTGAGTTTCTTCCAGAAGGAACCAAGAAGAGGATTAATTAATACATTCAATTCTAAAATAAGCCATGGCCCATGTAAGTTGTTTTTTTCTTGCTCCTAATTAAAATAGATTTTTTGTGTTTTTTTTGTTTTGGTTTGGTTTTTTTGTATAGGGCATGTGACTATTTGCATTTATTATTATTTTTTTTTTGGAGATATAGCCTCACTCTGTCTCCCAGGTGGGAAGGTTAGAGTGCCGTGGCGCGATCTTGGCTCACTGCAGCCTCCACCTCCCAGGTTCAAGCAATTCTCCCACTTCAGCCTCTCAAGTAGCTGGGACAACAGGCACATGCCACCACACCCAGCTAATTTTTGTACTCTAAGTAGAGACGGGGTTTTGCCAAGTTGGCCAGGCTGATCTCAAACTCCTGGCCTCAAGTGATCCGCCCATCTCAGCCTCCCAAAGTGCTGGGATTACAGGCGTGAGCCACTGCGCCTGGCCTGCCTTCTTTATTCTGACATTGTTTCTTACCTAAGAATTATACAGTAACTTACTAGTGAGTAAGTGACGGTGCCAGAATTTCAGGGCCTTCATTTTTGCTTCTCTCCTCTCCAACCCGTGTTCATATACTTGTTGAATAAATGATTCTTCATCTCCCTTACGTGAAATCTTTTAACAGAAACAAGGAAAGAACACAAATAATAATATTTTGAAGAAAATTTTAGTGTTTCTCTTGTGAGAACTTTGATTGGATGAGGTGATTTAACGAATATTTACCGAGTACCTACTATGTGACAGGCATTCTTCTAGGTAACTAGGAATAAATCAGTGGGGAAAAAATATCACATACATGCATATCTTCCCTTCTGAGGCTTAACCGGTATTGAGAGACAAAAAATAACTTATGTATAGTAAGACTTAAGACACACAGATATATGCAGAGAGAGTGAGCAAGACAGAATTAACAAAATAATCGCGTGATAAAAGCCAGGCACGGAGGCTGACGCCAGTAATTCTAGCACTTTGAGAGGCTGCAGCGAGAGAATTGTTTGAGTCCAGGAGTTCCAGACCAGTCCAGGCAACATAATAAAACCCCATCTCTACAAAAAGAATTTTTTTTTGTTAATCAGCTGCTTGTGGTTGTGTGCACCTGTAGTCCTAGCTACTGGGGAGGCTGAAGCGGAAGTGGGAGGATCACTTGATCCCAGAAGTTTGCGGCTGCAGTGAGCTACGATCGCACTGCACTCCAGCCTGGGTGACAGAGCAAGCCTCTGTCTCAAAAAAAAAAAAAACAAAAAAACTACATGATAAAGTTAAGACCAGAGAGCAAATATATATGCCTTATTAATATATGCAAATGGTGTTTAACTCATCTATTAAAAGACCTTTCAGATTGAATCACGAATTAAAACCCAGACACCTGAATGATTCACTAATTTAGAAAGGTTAAGAAAAGGACTGGCAAACTATATCAGACAAATAGAATGAAAAGAAAACAGGGCCGGGCACGGTGGCTCATGCCTGTAATCCCAACACTTTGGGAGGCCAAGGCGGGTGGATCACGAGGTCAGGAGATCAAGACCATCCTGGCTAACAGGGTGAAACCCCGTCTCTACTAAAAATACAAAAAATTAGTCGGGCATGGTGGTGGGCGCCTGTAGTCTCAGCTACTAGGGAGGCTGAGGCAGGAGAATGGCGTGAACCTGGAAGGCGGAGGTTACAGTGAGCCGAGATCACACCACTGCACTCCAGCCTGGGCAACAGAGCAAGGCTCTGTCTTAAAAAAAAAAAAAAAAAAGAGATTTAATTAAAGCAGGACACTGGCCAGGTGCAGTGGCTCATGCCTGTAATCCCAGCACTTTGGGAGGCTGAGGTGGGCCGATCATGAGGTCAGGAGATCAAGACCATCCAGGCCAACATGGTGAATCCCCATCTCTACTAAAAATACAAAAATTAGCTGGGTGTGGTGGCGTGCACCTGTAATCCCAGCTACTTGGGAGGCTGAGGCAGGAGAATTGCTTGAACCCAGGGGGCGGATATTGCTGTGAACCAAGATCTTGCCACTGCACTCCAGCCTGCGTGACACAGCAAGACTCCATCTCAAAAAATAAAATAAAAAAGCAGGACCCTAAGGAAAAATCATAGCTTTGAATGCTCCTACCAAAAACAGTGAAAATATATGAATTAGAAATACATGGAAACGGCCAGGTGCTGTGGCTTACGCCTGTAATCCCTGCATTTTGGGAGGCTGAGGCAGGCAGATCACCTGAAGTCGGTAGTTCGATACCAGCCTGATCAACATGGAGAAACTCCGTCTCTGCTAAAAATACAAAGTTAGCCTGGCGTGGTGGTGCATGCCTGTAATCCCAGCTACCTGGGAGGCTGAGGTAGGAGAACCACTTGAACCCAGAAGGCAGAGGTTGCGGTGAGCTGAGATTGTGTCATTGCACTCCAGCTTGGGCAACAAGAGCGAAACTCCGTCTCAAAAAAAGGAATAAATAAAAAAGAAACACTTGGAAATGTGGAAAGAATTTGCAAAGATAAGAAATTATATGTGTTGGAAAACAGGAAAAAATGTCTAGTTGCTTTTCCTTCCTTCCTGTGATCTGAACTTCCATCCTGTATCATTTATCTTTAGCCTGAAGATCTTCCCTTAGCATTTCCTGTAGTTTGGGTCTTTGGTGACACATTCTCTCAGATTTTATTATGTAAAAATGACTTTCTTTCATCTTAATTTTTAATTAATTTTTAAGTTTTAGTGTCAGGGCAATGCTGGCTCCATAAAATAAGTCAGGAAATATACTGTAGTTTGACCACTTAAATTTAATGTAATTAGCAATATAGTTAGGTTTTACTCTATCATTTTGTCAACTGTTCTTTTTAAATTTTTTTTCCTGTTTTCCTGCCTTGTCTTGGATTAATCTTATTTTTTTAGTGTTTAATTTTATCTTCACTATAGGATTATTTGCTGTATCTCTTTGTTTTGCTGTTTTAGGGGTTGTTTTAAGGTTTGCAATGTGCTTCACATTATTCGAGTCATTTTAGAACATTTCAGGTATAATGTAAACGTCTTACAGCTGGATACTTTTCTTTTTTTTTTTTTTAAGAGACTGGGTCATGCTCTGTTGCCCAGGTTGGAGTCCAGTGGTGTCATCATAGCTTATTGCAGCCTCGAACTCCTAGGCTCAAGTGATCCTCCTGCCTTAGCCTTCCAAGTAACTAGGACTACAGTTGTGTGCCACCACGTCTGGCTGATTGTTTAATTTTTTGTAGAGATGCCATCTCACTTTGTTACCCAGGCTGGTCTCCTGGCCTTAAGCAATCCTGCCTCCCTGGAGTGGCTTACAGGGGTGAGCCACTGCACCAGGCACAACTGGATACTTCTATTTCCCCTTCCCGTCTTTTTTTTTTTTTGTCATATATTTTATTTCTAAATTTGCTTAAAGCATATATTTCTTTCTTTAGTTGATTATCTTTTAAAGAAATTATTAAATGAAAAGAATATCTTATGTTTTAACCCTATGTTTACCATTTCTAACACTCTTTATTCTTCTGTATAGACTGAAGATTTTATCTAGTATCAATTTTTCCACGTGAAGAATTTCCTTTAACATTTTTGTACACCACCATGCCTGGCTAATTTTTGTATTTTTAGTAGAGACCAGGGTTTCACCACATTGGCCAGGCTGATCTCGAACTCCTGACCTCAGGTGATCCACCCGCCTCAGCCTCCCAAAGTGCTGGGATTACAGGTGTCCACCGCCACACCCGGCCTCATATAGTTCATTTCTTAGTTTCGGGATTTGCCTTGGGTTCTTTTTTAGAGTATTCAAATTTCACCTGAAATTTCCCTTTTTCCCTCCTGTAGATTTTTTAAATATATCTCATAGTTTTTATAGTCTTTGCCAATTTCAACATCTGTGTCATTTGTAGATATGTTTCTATTAAGTGGTTTTCTCTTGAAAATCATATTTTTTCATTTCTAGTAATTTTATTTATTTATTTTTATTTATTTATTTTTTTGAGACGGAGTCTCAATCTGTCACCCAGGCTGGAATGCAGTGGCACAATCTCAGCTCAACCCCTGCCTCCCAGGTTCAAGCGACTATCCCACCTCAGCCTCCCAAGTATCTGGGACCACAGTTGTATGCCACCACACTCCGCTAATTTTTTGTATTTTTAGTAGAGATGGGGTTTCACCATGTTGCCCAGGCTGGTCTCAAACTCCTGACCTCAAGTGATCCGCCTGCCTCAGCCTCCCAGAGTGCTAGGATTACAGGTGTGAGCCACCACGCCCAGCCTATTGTACACTTTTTATTGCATGTTACGTGTTGTTGACTCAGGGTTCTGTTAATTCCCTCTGTAGAGGGGACATTAGCTCTACCAGGTAATTACACATAATTACATATAATGGAAAGGCACAATACTGAAAACATGATAATTGGATCAAGTGAACAGAATAGAAATCCTAGAGTTATACCTAAAAATGGGAATATAACTCATGGTTAACATGACATGTCCAATCGGTAGGCTAAAGATGGACTGTTGATAACATTATCAGATAGGTAGCAATTTTGGAAAAAGATAAAGTCCAATCTATATCCCACGTACCATATAGGATAAATTACAATAAATCAAATAATTTAATTGTTAAAAATACAGTGATAACAGCACTAGAATAAAACATGGGAGAATTCCTCCATAACTTTGGTTTGGGGAACGCCTTTCTAACTAGGACTCAGAATCCAAAAACTAGAAAAAGAAAAGGTTAACACATTTTACCACATTAAAATAAAAAAACTTCTGCATGGCGAGAAACACTTGTCAGCAAAGTCAGAAGACAGATGACAAACTGGAGTAAAGTATTTACCACTCATAAACAAGGAAAGAGCTTATTATTTCTCTAATATAGAGAACTTTTAGAGAAAAAAAGATGAATAGCCCAGTAGAAAAAAGGCCAAAGGACCTGAATAGAGAGTTCACAGAAAAGGAAATATAAAGGGTTCTTCTAAAAAGAAAAGTACTAAACTCACAATTAAAGAAATGTCCACTAAAACTCTGTGGCAGTAGAGCTTATGACATAGAGTTTTAGTGGACATTTCTTTCTTGTTAGATTAGTAAAAATAAAATGTTTTGACAAAGCACCCTGTTAGTGAGTCTGTGAGGAGAACAAAATGGTCTAACTGCTTTCAAGGGCAATTTGACATCTACCAAAATGTATTTTCCATTTTGACCCAGCAATCCAACTCCTGGTACTTTTTCTTACAGATATACCCGTATTTGTATGAAATGATAAATTCACAATAGCATTCATTGTACTGTTGTTTATAATAGCCAAAGACTAGAAATAATGAATCTATAGGTTTAATTGATAAACCATCAGTGTTAATACAAATAATTGGACTATATATACTTATGTAAAAATAAAGAAGCCATTCATCACAGATATGGCAAGATACTTTGAATTTAATAAGTGAAAAAAAATCCAGTACCAAACAGTGCATATATTATAATATGTTACTATTTGTATAAAAGCATGAAAAATTATATGCATGTATTTACTTATAAAGTTTTTTAATAACTTTTTGCGCTCATGGGGGCAAGAGGTGGGAGACAAAATGGAAAGGATAAATATGAGGCAAGACATCTGAATGTATACCTTTTTAGTTCTTAACCATTTAAGAAAGGAAAAGAAAAATATAAAAATATGCCCCAGGTGCAGTGGCTCATGCCTGTAATTCCAACACTTTGGGAGGCCACAGCAAGAGGACTGCTTGAAACCAGGAGTTTGAGACCAGCCTGGACAACAAAGACCCCCATCGGTACACACAAAAAAAAATTAGCTGAGTATGGTGGCACATGCCTGTAGTCCCAGCTACTTGGGACACTGAGATGGGAGAATCAGTTGTGCCCGGGAGTTTGAGGTTGCAGTGTGAGCTAAGATCTCGCCACTGGACTCCAGCTTATGTGACAAAGAAAGATGCCCCACCCTTACCACCCCTCGCAAAAAAAAAGAGAAAGAAAATATAAAAATAAAACTTGTTATTAAGTTTTATAATTTTCTCTAGCCAATTTTAGCTACTTAGATTTGGTGATGGAGTAGAAAGAGAGATGGATTCATCAAGGATTCAGGCTTTGTCAAGCAAGTGCGAAATGAGAGGGTTAAGGGAGCTCATGCTGGGAGTGATTATAAAGTTAAGTGATTAGTTGAGCATGGAATTTAAGTTGGGTAAGAACAGGGAGAAGAGGCATGGAGTGGGTGAGTGCCAATGTGAAGGGGATCAGAGAAGGATACTTGATATTTTGGAGGTGATGCAGTTATTGCTAGTCACAAGGTCTAGAGTAATAACGTGGGGAGTGAGTACAGTAGAGTGGAAGATAAGCTCATAGAAAAGTAGAAGAGGTTAAGGAATTGGGCCCATGATGTTAGAAGAACGCAGTATACGGATATTTGAAATCACTGAAAATTAAGATTATAGTATTAGAGTTAGTGATACTGAGCCAGGAGCGAAAATTCCTGAGGGGCAAAAACCTGCATGTAAATACATCACTGCAATGGAGAGAGAGATAATACATGGTATAGACTGATGAAATGATGACATTATATTTTAGAGAAGAGACCCAGGTGCGGTGGGTCACAACCGTAATCCCAGCATTTTGAGAGGCCGAGGCAGGCAGATCACTTGAGGTCAGGAGTTTGAGACTAGCCTGGACAACATGGTGAAACCCCTTCCCTACAAAAAATACAAAAATTAGCCAGGTGTGGTGGTGTGCATCTGTAATCCCAGCTACTTGGGAGGCTGAGGCACGAGAATTGCTTGAACCCAGGAGGCAGAGGTTGCAGTGAGCTGAGGCCATGCCACTGCACTCCAGCCTGGGCCACAGAGTGAGATTCCATTTCAAAAAAAAAAAAGATTTTAGAGAAGGAAAGACAGTTGTCTGACATCAACGATTAGAAACAAGGAGGACGGTGGTACGAAGGCTGTGGGAGAAAAAAAAAAGCTACCACTTGAGGTGTCCTCAGGGAATGAATGGTTAATTAAATCACATGTGGGAAATCTTTGAACTTCACAATTTTGGGTTTTCCGGTGAGATGTGATAGGAATTGGTGTG